ACTGATCGTGCTGTGGTACATCTTAAATCGCACGCAACGCGGAATGCTTGTATCGTACTAATGCAAGGCTTCTAATTTCGGACAAAAATGTTGCGATCATATGATTGCAATGTCAGGCGAACGCTCATATGATGCACAGAAGAATGAGGAAATAGCAAAATGGAGATATAGTTGGTCAGAAAATATCAGCCAGTAAAACCGTTCCACACACTTGAAAATAACTTATGGTCCCGTATTAGAGCCAAATTGATCACGGCCAACTTAACGCTCTCACGTGGCGTGTCTTGGGACAAAGGGTCGTTTGTCGACCTTCCAATTGTGACTGCTATCAGGATAAAGATTTTCAAGTAAACTATGATTACACGCTGACAAATAACCGGTAAAATCGCAGTGGAGAATGGTGGACACTATAGGTCACGCATAAGCTTGACAACACGGCCGATATAAACGGCTGCACTGTGAATTGTGTGCAACCGATAGGTGGTAAGAGGACGGAAGTCGTGAGCATGTTTCAGAAAGGCGTTCTACAACGCTTAGGCGAAAAAAATAATCTTATCATTTAAAAGTTGTTACTGCTATCCGACATAACGATCGAGTGGACTACTAAGCAAAGTATTCTCAACAAAATCAATGCACACCACATGCGATATGCTCCTGCTTGATTCAATTCATATTGTTGCTTCGCATGGATACATTTCACTTCAGCTCACTGCAGGAAAGGATGCACACAAACACTGAACGCACCTGGAAAACATTTGACGTGAGTGCTGTGACGACCAATAGGAAGGGAATCATGAAGGCAGAATTGTAGTACAACAGCTCAATGCTAGAATAGCCCTTGTCACGAAGTCGTGACTTAGACAATAGCGCCTTCCCAGCTGTGGAGAAGTTGTTGATGAAGACGAAAGTATAACCAAGTGGATCAAATGTGATATCACCACTGTAGGATAGAGATGTGAGTTGGTCAGTTTAGCAGGATAACGTCAGACTTACAGTGCGGCTACAGCAGCACCAAGAACCATCAGACCCACGGTGATGTAAACGGATAAGGGGCGAACAGTCCTGGATACAGACAAGTTTTTGAAATAATGTGATATCACCACTGTAGGATAGAGATGTGAGTTGGTCAGTTTAGCAGGATAACGTCAGACTTACAGTGCGGCTACAGCAGCACCAAGAACCATCAGACCCACGGTGACGTAAACGGATAAGGGGCGAACAGTTCTGCATACAGACAAGTTTTTGAAATGGTTTAGCTGGCTGGAAACGGACAAACCCCAGGATGATTTGTTCGCCAATCAGGATGAAGAAATTGGAGATTCGCCGCAGGGCAGAAAACAAGGGCAAGCTTTAGGCAAACGGTAACCTCGTAAGCTGGTAACATGTCTTACCTTAGTGTTCCCGTCCCGGCAATACCCATTGTGATATCAACAGCATAACAAAATGATAGTGGGAAAACCTGGAGTCATTGGTAAAATACACTAGAGAAGGCAATCAACTCACAGTGCGAATGACTTGCAAACGTTCACGTTTCTGTATATCCGACACGAAAAACAGCCGGAGGAGTATGAAGGTGAATAAAGTCTGAAAGAAAGGGCAAACATGAGGGTGTGATTTGTGCACAAGCGTTTACAGTATTCTCTGTGCCTGGGGTGTTCCACAAATACGCTGCATGAGGTGTGCTACGTTAATACATGAAGCTTTATGGGCTTGTTCTGACTCATGAATTACATGAATAGTGCATGAGAAGGGGGAAACCCTAACGCTGATTGGTTTTATGCGTGCAGATATAAGATCGATGATTACCGCCCTTTAGAAGATGAGTGACGGACAAGAATTCACAAACTGTCCTCGAACCATAGTCTTCAAACGTCGTGTTTTGTTGCGCGTTCCTTCGGTTGATTTTTGCAATAAACTACCCGGTATCATCGCTATTGTCATTCTGTGACCCACAATGCTTAATTCTTAGCGGAAACGATCGACATGATCCAGTCGAGCTAAATAACCGGCTAAGTGATAGACATAGGATCAGCTGTCCAAATCACCAACTATTTGAAGCTAGAAGGCATTTGAATATAGATGGAAAATGGATTCCTATCTATACTATGCTACGGTCATCGAACGCACAGGATTTTTCACTCGAATCGCGGAGTGCTGGTGTCAGAGTAGACAACCGCTTGTTTGTCCATTGTGCCATCTTCAACCTAGCAACAAGACATAAGAAACAATGTCTGTAGAACCTAAAGTAGCACACCAGTGACTCAGGACACAAAGAATAAAGACTTTTGGACAGAAATGCGGCCAACTCATTATTATTATTATTAGTATTATTATTATTATTATCATCGACATCAGTGTTCAACACCGATGCTTCACTGCCGTACAACCATGATGTATTTGAAAGCCTTACTGTAAACAGAAGAGTAAAGGTGGACGGGGAAGGGACCTAGTGTTAGCTTACCACAACTGGACTGAGATTTTGTCGTTACAGTGAGACTGTTCTGTCCATACCATGGATCTGGTGCTGTTATAAAACAGACGGGGACTGAGTACAGGCAGATGTGGTAACAAGCATAGTACTATCCAACTGTGTCCTCAATGCGGCTTACTAGGCTACCAGTTATTTGTTTACCGCCAACTTGATAGTCATGAGTCGGTAGTTAAGTATCCGTACGATTCTTTTGTTCAACTGGATGCCTCATTTTCGAGACCGGGCCTACCTGATGAGCCCCAAGAAGGGCGAAACCGGTCGTGGGCTGTCGAAGAGTTTTTGGTAACCTTGTGAGTAGTTCCCTTTATGGATGCCTTATTCTTTTGCGTTTAAATAGAGATACAGGTTACTTGTTTGTACCACACGCTACTTGGCTCAAAACCGTATCTACCATTAAGATACTCTGACATGACAGGCACATCCGGGAGAGAATGCATGTATTATAACCGCTTTATGAATACATCATGGTGTGAATCTGATATGTAGAATCTACTAGAACTATTACTCATGGTCAAGAACAAAAGCTTACAGAACCAGCCACTACATCGCTAGTTTAGGTTTAAGGTAAGACCGTCCAACAAACGCTTCATGTCTTTGATATTTTGGCGCAAAGTCTACATTTGTGCGCTGCTAAAAAAACCACCGTTCTACTTTGACGACTAACCTGATGACCCGTCGAAGGCTTGTCGCACTGTCATTAACCGTATCACATAACATAACCTTGTCTCTCTGAAGAGAGGAGCTCACATCGTAGATGATGAAGCGTTTGGATATGAACTGGCAAGCGCCAGCTACATGTTGAGAATCTGTCAAGAATAGCATCAACACTCCTGTACATCTAAATTCACCCTTTGCTCGATGATGGAGCACTGGTCTCGCTAGTCCCACTAACAATACAAAGATAATTGTTCAGCTACAGCACTCTTTCGGTACCTAACTGCCATGCCGACAGAAGGAGGCACGAAGAGAGGAATACTGCCAGGTTGCCCAAGCCTGTACAGTCTAGAAAAGTCCCGCTACTGACGACATTGGAATAATAACAAAACAATGACCCACCTCTCGAAACCAGAACAGTCCCCTTACGGTCAGAATTTATTTTCAAATCCTGTGTGTTTCACGTCAAACAATGAAACACTGTTAATGCAGCTAGGGATCCAAATGCGTAGTGCAGTGCACAATACGGAATTACTTAGGATCAGTTCTACAGGACCGAAACTCGGTTCTTCCGAATTTGTGCTTCAAACACTTTGGTCAAGTGATACATAACCACAAATCCGCACTGAAGATATGTGGAGCACACCCCCAACCCATAGATGATGACCGATAGAACAATGTCGCGCTGCTGACGGATTAAGGGTTTCGCAGAAAACCACCATGGTAAACCCAGAACTGTCATCGAGCGTCACACTGTATGACATTTTGTGCAGCTTTGTTGGTGTGCGGCGAACCAGCATTCGATGTTTGGTATATCTACCCTGGTCGGCTAGAAGTTGTTAGCAGAAGGGCCTAGTAAATTCTGGACTGGATTTACTACGTTTGTCATAGCCTTTGGATCATTTTAAGTCTAATACTACGTCAGGAGGCGAAGCTCAGAGTCGAAAATTCCACAACAATGACGCCTTTATACGTGTAAAACTGGCATCGCCGTTTGGTGACTGAACATTACTGAACTAGAACATCTAAGATTCTTGCTTGTGCGTAGAAATGAAACAAGCCGGTGAACTAGTATTCCAGAAGTGGTGCGAAGGTGGAACAGAAAAATCAGAGATTACGTGGGGGAACTAACCTGAAGCAATGCCAAACCCATGAATGAAGGGAATCTATGAAAAGACGATGATCGGTTTCAGAATTTAAGACTTACCGATAAACTGTGAGGACCAGTTTGTTAGCAAACATGATTCCACTGGAACAGACCATGTACAAAATGATATGCAGAATGGCACGAGGGTCAACCATCATGCGCACGTGAAAGACCTTCAGGGGAAATCTCTGTCAACGAAGGAAGGGAATCCGTTGAATTATATATATATATATACATATATATATATATACGTAATAAAAGCTACTAAGACATTAATCCCAAGGTGATTTTATGGACTATGTGATATAAGAGGCCATTGCTAATGGACACGTGGAAGAACATGGAACTAGATGTAATATAGTGGGTGCGTTATTTTCCTTAGGTGAATAGCCCGTAATAATTGAAATGGAGCAGTTGCAGGAATTAATGCTACAGTGGTTTTCGGAAAACGATGTGGTCACTTGCCCTTCAACCTGGAATGTACACTGTCCGCCAAAAAGTGCACAGTCATCAAAAACTGGTGAACGAATAAATATGGTATGAACGTTTGCGAAATGATTCAAGTCGCATTAGTTGGCATGGTGCTTTACGTCCTCCCACCCACCCAAAGCATGTGACTATAGGCTCAAGCTAAACAATACGCAGTCTTAGACTAGTCCCCTTTGGACAGCGAGAAATGTGCAACGAAAGCTTCAGTCAACAGTTTCAACCACCTCCACTAGGTGCTTCCTCCTCCTGTCGAACTACAGTAGCAAGAAACAAGGCAGTAACGTGTGTGGGGAGTGGCAGCCGTACTGTATGGAAACCAGATTGGCGCTGCTATTGATGGGCATTAATGATGAGGCATTACACAGTAGTCAACACTAAGCGTCTTCTTTTGAAAGTTTTCAGTACTACGACCATTCGCTCGCTGAAACGACCGCGTTGCAGACCACCTTGGTGTTTTAAAACGTAGGGACTAGTGGTACAGAGATTTTTCGTGATCCCACACGCCGCCAACCTGTCATATTAGCTTGTCTTCATCATTCCTACCACGCCAGCTGGTGAACGAAGTTGCCCTTTAAATTGACACACCATAAACTGCAAAAGTTGGTTGCACAGTAGCGCATCTAAGCTGACAGTTAAAGTCGCTCTCCTCAACAGAGGACTCCAAACTCCGGATCTTACACCGAGTCATTGAGAGTAGGCTTTCTAAGCAAACTGTAGGAAAAAAATTTAAGAATGAAGACTCCAGAAAATACTTCACTCTGACACACTTGAAGACAGTGAATACTTTCAGAAGTGATATGTAGTACAGTGAACAAATACTTGAACTGAGAGTTTCAAGCACATGAACTCTCCAAAGTAATTAATCAACCGCCGTATACTGTGACTCCACCAACCTACTAATAAGATATGAATCATCATCACCACCATCAGAGACAGCAATATAACGTTTGACACTGGTGCTTCACTGTCGTAAAACCATGAATTTTATCTAATTATATTTGAAGCCTTGGAATGAAGAGAAGAGAGAGGACTTGGGGCTGGCCTATCACAAACATTGAGGTGCCTATATCTCCAAGCGCCCAATGAGACAATGTGGAAACCGACAGCGCAAGTGCTACTGAGACCGATCAGCCGCCATTTCTTGTGATGTCTCTAGCCAGACACAGAGGGGGTCACGATGATCCAATTCTGAAAGAAATACTGCACCAACAACACTCAAACTCATCGTCATCTCTTTCACACCCTCAGTCAGAGGTTGTCCACCTCATTGTTTGCGCCATTCGAAAGCAGGCACGCAGAACAACATTTATCTCAACAGACAGTGTTTCAGTGTGCGTAGCACATGGTCGAGCCATCGTAGTTGATGGCGCTGGATTTTTCCCGTGATCGAAGTACTTGCTGCACAACCAAATACTCAATTTCAAATTATCTAGTTACAGATCCGTTGACGTCATCTGACACCAGCAACGCTTCTGATGCATCGGTGATAAAAAAAACTAAGGAAGCCTCACACCATCACTTCTCACAGGCCATGTTTCGTAACCATACAACAACACACCCTTATTGTAGTCTGATGTACATGAACCTTGAGGTCCAGTAAGATGCGTTTGTGACGCCACAAGTGACTCAAATTAGCAAACGTGATTCAGGCACAAACCTGATCAGACATACTTTCGTCAGAGCTAACACAATTACCAAGGTATGCACAATTCTCAACAACCTCCACTTCTTCTGCTTGAACTGTAAGGGGTAGGTTTAGAGACTGTATGTTCTGAAGCCTGACGTTGCATTTTGAAGGTGCTGGGCGAACGCTGAAAGATGGTAGTATGGCGGTCAGTTTATTCCACAGAGCTCGTGCTTTCCCCTCGTCTTCAAAGATGAGGAGGTCGTCTGTGTATTCCAGATCGACAAGGTTCTCATCAGCAACGATTTGAACACTGGGGTTATGAAGATCAGTGACCAAGCTAAACAAAAAACGGAAAGAGCGGACATCCATTCGGACACCCTTTTTGTAGGGGAAACTTTTGGACAGCTCACCATACACTTTCGAACGCCCGGGAAGTAAGTGAATATAAGGACCAGATTATGTTCACAGAGTTCTGGGTAGCTCTGTTGAGCAAGTGTGGCTAACAGTACAGCGTGGTTGACAGAATCGAACGCACCGTTGAAGTCAAGGGACACCAAGATTGTGGGTCGTCCGTACATATAGCGTTGCTCTAACACCTGACAGAGTACGATGTGTCAACCCAGAATCTACCCGGTCGAAATCTCTTCAGCAGCAACTTTAAAGATCTCCGAACTTTCAGCCCGTTGTAAAAGAGCACCTAAATAGTCAACTAGAGCGTCTTTGACAGACTCAGAGCTAGAGTCTACTGATGTTTAAGCGAACACAATAAACAGGGTGCGACGGATCACACTTTCTCGAGATTCTCTAACAGACGTTGCCAAACAAACCGCGCTGAGGCGACTATCAACGGGTATTCGATCATCAGAGACGCGCACCCGGATACTGGGAGAAAACGAGGGAGCAGTCAGTTCGATCACAGTACTCTCATCCTGTATCCTTGTTTGGCATACGTTAACACAGAGGGAATCCAGAGTACAAAGAAGAGCCACTTATGGTCCCGTTTGCTTCAGCGTGCGAACATTACAGGTGGCTAAGTAACCGACAGTATTTGGGATTGTTACTGAAGTTAGAAACAAAAGCTTCTGCTGAGTGTGATGTAGGGTGAGCAAAGTGGTCAGTCCTATTGATGGGACCTGCGGAAAGAGTATTCAAATTGCGATGAGGTAGTGTAGAAGACGTAATACGTGAAAGTGTAAGAAGGTAAACGTCGGTAGTAATATATTTTCGCTCGCCCGCTCTGCTATGTGCAACAAGTAAATTCACCGGCTGACGGCATCACGTGACGGCCAATGTGGCATGATCGTATTGTTGTACGTGGGCTAGTACAGTGCCAGAGAGGCCAGGCCTAGACAGGAGGACGATTATGGTTCTTGGAGAAGGTGTGAGCGCAAAGTAGCGGTGCTTGGCGGAAAATCCAAGTGCATTCCCACTTCTATAGAAAAAATTGCCACACATGTTCCAGCCTCCAAGCTGGGGGACAGGAGACTGTGTACGTGGGCTAGTACAGTGCCAGAGAGGCCAGGCCTAGACAGGAGGACGATTATGGTTCTTGGAGAAGGTGTGAGCGCAAAGTAGCGGTGCTTGGCGGAAAATCCAAGTGCATTCCCACTTCTATAGAAAAAATTGCCACACATGTTCCAGCCTCCAAGCTGGGGGACCAGGAGACTGTGTTCGTCAGACCCATAACTACTGATCAATCTGGTATGTGGTACTCTGTGAGTGTCGATCGGACAGCCCGTCCTCAGTAGAGCTCAATGGGTCATGGAGGCACACAAGTCGCGACACCACAGTAAGGTCCAGTCTTTTTGTGACAAGATGTGAATACTATAAACGGTTTTTTTGCAGAAAGCTTAAAATAAAAGTAAATCTGAAACAATGCAACAAAAAGACTACGCAACTGAACTGTTAGTCAAAGGAAGTGCCCGCAGCCGTATGTAAGCCTATCCGTGATCAGGTGGGAAGTGTCACTAGGAGATGTGACAGGAAGATTCAACGTACCAACAAGATTGCCCGCATTTCTGTTACCTTCTCAAGACTTCAAAACAACTTGAAAAGGACTGTTTTGTCACGAATCCTACGTGCAACAGCTATTATATGGTCTCGGGAACGTCGAAATCGACGTGGTTGTGCGCTACCGAATCCTGTTGTGACAGTTATATTGATCTTCATTTGGACGAACTGGAGAGCAGACTGTGAATAACAAAGACACAATCAACTTTTAGCCAACTATTGGCCGAGTCCAAAAAAACAAGAACAACGCCTCTAATATAATTGGAAGTCTAGACTCCGGCATGAAAAAGCCCACCATGAACCCCACCAACTTGCACGACTGATGTGTTTTTTTCAGACTGATATGCTTCGCAGGGACGGCGACTAACCTAACAGTGATCAGTTTCGTTGTTTTTCCCATACATAAGCCAATAACCGGGCTTGAATCCAAATAAAAATCCCATCTTTCGTCTTGAAAAAATGCTTGGCAAAGGATTCTTGCTCAGCAGCAAATCCACCGATTCTTAATCAGACCTTTCTTCAACAACGACTTCTTGTTCGGTTCCTAACATTTTCCATCTGGTGGAAGATGTCGTCCTGTTGTATTTGTATCGTAGCCGGGGTGAGTGAACGTTTCTATTTTTTGCACTGGCAGATCGCTCTATAGCACACAATAGGGAACAAAAACGAACCACATCGGTCTGGATGTTCATGGTAAATTTGAGATGACCCGCCTCAGATAGACAAGACCGACAACAATCTCAGCGTGGGAGCAGGCTGGGGTACCCGGCAACCTTGTTCATGTCCACATACTCACCAGAGTCGACTTATCAGCACAAGCTAGCCACGACTTGTGGACGGGTTTTGGAACATGCAGCTCTGCTCCAGCTCGAGCGCTCTAAGGACCGAGATACTGGGTCATGAATTTAGGATCACAACCTGTTTACGAGAAGTGACTTTTGGGGACACTACTAAACAGATGCCATTAGGTAGTTGGAACCTTAGTGCTTTGGAACTAAAGGAGCAGCTGCTTGCTTCTCTGACCTTATTGTTCCGGAGAAAACATACGAAAAGCGATAAATGGCCTGGTGAGTCAGAAACGGCAAAGGTATCGATTGGCCAAACCATTCAGTTGCTGCTCAAAACAGTGACACACAAGCAGTTAAAATACATACATTCAGTCAGAAAGTGCAAACATACAAGCTGCTGCGGCACTTGTCACTTATAACAGAATAGAATATTGCTATTCATTATTATTATTATTTTAAAACAGAAAACATTTTATCATTTTATTTTGCCAAAAGCCGCGTCAACTTGTGCTCATATTTTCAAATGGAATCAGTGTATCTAAACTACTTGTGTTCTATTGTGTTAAGCAGCAAGTGAGTAGTTTGACCATCCTTCGTGTTTTCTCACCCAGAAGAGCGTTTGTTGCTTTCATATGTTTGTACTCCTTCGTTTAGGAGAGAATACGCGTTTGATCTAGAAATTTCGGCATCTCAAAGGATGGAATGGTGCTTTTCTTCATTCTTACACTATCTTTACGTTGACGGAGTTTCTTGAGAGACAACAGAACACAAATAAGTACAGCGCTAAGGGAGGAAGTTACTGATGAATAGTTGACCTACATAGTTTCAGAGTCTGAAGCTTTGGTGCATAGGTTTGAGGATATATCCTAACCAACTCGACTACTTGGTGACAGAGAGAGCTTCTTGGTTAGTGTGGACCGATAAGACCATTTTATGAGTAGAAAGAGAACAAACAGTGGCACAAACAACAGCCCACTGCAACTTTTAGTTGTTTGTTTCTTGAATGCACGGTCCTGTTTAACAACAGGGGAACGGAGTTTTTTGTTAGGTGAATTTGTTAAAACAATAGATACCGTCCATGCTAGGAATGCTGTCCTGCTAGTCATTCTCCGATCCAAAAATCACTACTAGATGTTTGTTCCTTATGCCAGTTGGTTTCTAACTGATCGAAGCGGGAAAGGCGCTAGAAATACGTGGCTCGAAACTTGTGCATCAAAGGAGAGAGCTTCCAAGAACAGCACGATTTCCTAATGGTTATGAGGGTAGACATTCGAAGGCAATGAAAATGAGCAATTCGTAAAGATGATAGACCATTTGAAAAGTGTACATCACTCCAAACTGAACAGTACATTTGAGGGAGAAAGGGAGAAGATTGAACTTTTTAAAAAGTTTTTTGACGTTCTGAGGAATTATTTCAACCAAGATGTTTGGAAAGCGCATATTCGCCAGAGGACTTTGGCCTCGTATTTGTCGAAGTTATTTCTCGCGAGTACACATGCGTTAGACAATATGGCCCAAAGAATTTGAGAAATAGATCCAACCGGATTCACCTTCCGTTGTGTGATGCGTTGAAGGTCACTCCAGCAGTACACCTGCCTTTAAAAGAACTAGTGAACTGAAGTGGAACCGTCACACCGTCCAACGAACCGAGAAGTCAAACGACGCTCGAGTGAAGTGAGTAATGTGGTTGACTGACGGGGCGAATCCGCAAACCGGTATCTGACACTGCTTCCTAGAGGCCGCAAGCCCTAGTACATCTCATCCGTCAAATGTGTACTTTTTAGGATTGCGGGGTACTATCACAACCACCGACGACCACATTAATGCTCCATTAGACTATTTCAGTAATGAACGCTCTGAACGCATCTACTTTGAAAAACACTGCTTATGAAATAAGCATGCAGCATGAGTTGATCCGCTTACTTTGGTAGATGAGTATTGTTCTTAGTTGGGTGTTACGTCAAACTTTTAAATTTCTGCTGTACTCTTGCACACACCACTTGAGGTCCCATTACAGGATGACACACGTTACCTTGGAAACAATGCGGATTTCCAACAAGTACGACACAGGTGAGCCGGCAACCTTACTACTATACAATGTACTTCGTTACTATGGTAGTTTCCGCGCAATAGAACAAAAGCACCTTAGAAACCAGTCACTAAAATATTGAGGCTCAGAATATGCATAGTTGCGCCTGAAAAGCCTCTCCTGCTTTGTTGTGCATTAGGTTGAGGACAAGGTGTGAAATCTGCATCACAGAACGAAATGAAGTGATTGTGTGGGAGTACAGCGTGTTCGCAGCGCGTAAATTTGATGTCAGTCACCCAAACAGTCAATAAAGACTTCAAGCGATACGAAAAGAAAAGCCTTCGGAAAATGAAGAAACCACTTAATCCAGGGACTGATTCTCCCTGAGTAACAACAAAAAACAAAAACAAAACAAAAACAACGAACACAAAAACGAACCATGAAACCAATTTTCACTGTTTTAGCCTACAGCAACCCCGCATGTCGTAAAAGTCACATTTTCATACCCAA